AAAACCAAACTTCACACGATCGGAAAATTTTACTTTTGTGTGCCAAAAACACATGTGACGTAATAACAAATTTTCCATAACTCAGAATGCCACCAAACTTCGTTGGTAATGTGGGGCTCTTAGGATCTACATTCGGTAAAAAAATTACGTCGATATGATTTATAGTTTTTTTTTTAAGAACGGGTGTCGACTTTACCCCACTGTCGACAATGCCCCATGCTCCCCTACCGCACTCATTTAGCAACTCGAGTGACAAACCAATTTTCATTCTACGAATGGCATAAAGACAATAACAATTGGTGGGCGACCATATAAGGCAGTTAGCAGCAGCAGCTCGACAAAGTTTTGTGGCAATTGTGGATGGCTGGAGCAGAGTAATGAACTTGTCAGCCATGTTTTCGTTTTCTAGGGTGTGCTCAAGAAAGTTGAGTCGAAAACCAAGTAGTGCTCCGTATATTGTGTGTACTCAAATGCAGAGTGCTTCAATTGTTTGTCGGGGGAGTGTGCGACGCACGGGAATCGAAGATAAAGGTAATCCATTTGACTTGACGATATCTACGACTGTCACACAGTCTGGCTTTGATTCAAAAACTATGCACAGCTGCGCAATTTCGTATGCCAGAGGTTTGGTTATTCGTTTTTTCATTTTTTCGGGTTTTCGACTAATGAAACCGAACGAACAATAATAATTTAGTAAGTCTACGGTGTAGACCTACGCATGCGCAAAGGTGGATTCGATGCCTGGCAATTGTCACAGCACAAAACGCAATTTGTCGTCGTCGCAGACGAGGAGTGGAAGTCACTGAACCCGCTCGAGCCAAAGCTTTTTTCTATTACTTTTTTTTCCTGTCTTTACCCCACTCTATATCTTTACAGAGAGAGAAATCTATAGGTGTTTGTAATTGGAAAAAAGATAAATAAATAAGTCTAGTTACTTACAACTATTATTATTTACTCAGTAAACAAACCTAATTAAAGTTTAGAAAAATTCTAAACTGATCTATTTTAAATGTATTTTTTTTATTGGTAAAATTTTAAATATTTTCTATGCAACTTATTATTAAATGCAGGAAATATTTCCCTGTGCAACTCTTTCTCTCTCACTCTCCGTATATTTTTGGGTGTAGGCCAGGCCAGCAGTAGACAAAGCCACGTTTGACAAAGAAAAATCTTACAGTTTTGTTGCTTTTTTCAGCTAGTTACAATTGTAAGTAGCACACAAACACTCGCACAGATATTTTGCTATTTTGCTGACAACTGCGCAGGCGCGCGTGTGCGTCATGAAATTAGTTTATTTGTTTGCATAAATGTGCCAAAGTCTGTGAGCAAATGTGTGTGTGTGTAATTTTTGTGTGCAACAAATTTCTAATAAATTTGTTGTTTCGGCACCCGTGTCATGCACACCTGGAGCATAATTCGCCCTCAGCCGATCCAAACTGAACTCAACTGTGAGCCATGAGTCAATTTCCGTCAGCTGCGCCAGCTGAGCAGCCGTTAACGGAGAAACTTTGCCGCCACCCAAGCTACTGATTCTTGGCAAATAAATAGTAAAGACACTTTAAGATAAATACCATAAAGTGTGGCAAGGAAATAATTGTGTTAATTACAGAGTGCATATGTAGTTTTACAGTCTAAAGATTGCAGCGCTTTTAATATTTTACCTAAAATGTATTCAGTAGGAAAAACAACCCATTTACATTTGCTTTCTTAGAAATCTCTCTCATTCTCAGCACACCAATTAAATTGAGAATTTTGTACAAATAATATTGACATTTTTACCCAACGTGATTTGAACAACAAAATTTTACAACAGTCCCTCTTGAGTATTACGAGAAAATTGTTCAAGTTATGAGAACAGCATAACGGACTAATGGACAGGGGCGGGGGGTTGAGGGGGGCAGGGGGGCCACTTAGGTCTCGAACTACTCCGACCAACGTTAGAACAATAAACAGCGCACAAAAAAATCTTTTCTTTGATTTTTTTTCTTACTTATTTTCCCCTGATTTAAGCATCGCAACACACATTCAAATCAATGAATGCCTGCCACTCGAGTCGAAAGACCAAAAAAAAAAAAAAAAAAAAAAAAAAAAACTGACAGGATGGGGAGCTCTTTTCGGCCACTTGAGCGTTCGATGACATTTCGTTTTTAGTTTTCTCCGTATAATTATTATAATACATAAATTTATGCTGCCGCAGAAGTAGGAAATTTGTAAAATCATTTCAAGTGCTTCAGAGTTTAACGATTCTCCAGGTTCAGATTTGAATCTAGACAGAAAGGGCCTGGCCATCTAGCTGTACTCCACAATAAAAGTAATAACGATGTGTGCTCCACTTATGGCCCATTCGTATTTCCCATTTACTCTGAACTATAACGCTGTTTTGGCCTGATGACAAAAATAGTTCAGCTACTAAGGCTACTAAAGCATGCCGCAGAATACGTTCGTTAATTTGCGGTAATTACCCGTCCGTTTGGGCATTGGATTTCGTTTCGGAATACGTACTTATATCGGGCATGGCCTGGTATATGGTCTATAAGTCTACAAGTCTCCGGAGGTGGCTAACAATGCCTTGCTTTATTTTAAGGCACAAGGTTGACTTTTGTTGCTCCGCTCCGTGTGTGTAGGTTCACAATTGTTCGGTTCGAGTAGAGCATGTAGATTCAGTAATTATTTTTCGTTTTTATATTAACAGCCCACAAAATAAAAAAAAATAGATAACAAACAGTCATACACACGCGCTTACCAAGTCCAAAAATCTAAACCAGTTTGCTTATTTAATTTCAATGCTTAGTTTTGAAGTCACATTGATTGGAGTGATTATTTTTATTTTTATGAATGTGCGAGGGCTCTCAGTGCCAAAAGTGAAGTGTCGGGAAAACAATTAAAAATATTACTTACATAAAGTCACTTTTTAACCCACCAAAATTGGCAACGTACGCAAATTGATCAGCATATTAATTGAGAGATCCTTTTTATTTTAATTCTGGCCAGACAAGTGATGATTTTAAATTGCGACATTTCATTGGTATTTTTGGGTACAGAATTTCGCCGTTCGCATCTTCCAACTTCATCTTTGACTAACTTGGCTGAGCCCCACCCTTGTGAACAATCGGCACTCGACTCGAATTTAAATGATTCTGGAATTCTTTAGGTGCACTGCCAAAAAATAAGAAAAGTTGTTACTTAATCAAGACCTGCAAAGTTGAGAAAAATAATTATTTACTATATTATACTACAGATTTTGACTGCAATTCTAAATAGTAGATCATTTGGTTGATGTTAAAAAAGAAAACTTTATAAGAAGTATTATAGATATTATAATCTATAGATTTCCAACATTATTTGTTCCCGTGTACAATCCAAAAAGAAAAGGTACAACCACCCCGCAGCTCATGACTAAAATTTAAACACTACCATTACAGTCAACAATAATAATTAATTGTTTGCTAATAAATATGAATTTATATATAGGAAGAGCACAAATAGTAATAATAATAATAATAATAAGCGCACGCGCCGCGCTCTCCAATGACTAAGTCTCCTTTGAGTCTTTGAGTATGCGATAAATACGATTGTACATATCTAGATACTTACGTATGTACGATGAACACATATATAAATTGTAAATCAGATACGGCATAAATATTGAACACATGGCGCAGTTTCTACAGCCAAGACTTGTGGGTGTTTAATGGAAGGGGGGAAAAGAGGGGCGAATAAACCGAGCGACTGAACGAAATTCAAATAAAATAAAAATAAAATAAAGCACAATAAAACGTACTTAAGATTGACGATTGTGTAGATGGAGCAGTCGGCGATCAATGAAGGAGTTTTTAGGGAGTACAGTTGAGCTGTTTGCTTAGGGGAAGTAAATCATTTGGACAATAGTTTTACCATTACAGTAACTCTAAAAATAAGTATTCGTCATTTGATAATTTTAGGGACTTCCAATTTAGGAAATAATTCAAGTTTGGGGGATTTATCTTGCTTTGAGGGGGTTAACACGAGATAAAAGTTTTAAGCTAAGCGAAACTTGTCTTAAGAACTTGGAAAGCAAATGCATATTCAAATGTATTTATATAGTACTTTTGAATATACTTGATTAGATATAATTGGCTGTCAGTACGACTCTTGATCACCCCACTCAGTCGAACAAATACGCAGACATTAGGTAAACACACAGATACAATTTCAAAACCAAACAAAATGTCGGCAGCTGCTTTTTGTGTGAGTTTTGTTAGCTTATAAATTAAAACGCGTTTCATGCCATTATTCGATGGTATTTTTTTCGGTTATTCGTCTTGCGGGTGTTCAAGTCATTCGATTGTTCGTATTCATATTCTTTTTAGCCCATTTCGTTATGGCTTGAAGGCATTATATTCCCGATATCGCTCACACCTCCACTCCCCCAACGCCGCCGCCTTTCTCCTCGATTCGTTCGGTTCATCTGTCCGCCTGTCTGCTAATTGAAAATCAATTAATGTGACTGCATCTCTATAGCTGCCCGGCAATATCAGCGGCAGTCATGTCAAAGTCAGATATCATCCGGGGTAGAATAATTCCAGTGAATATGAAAGAACGAGCACAAGGAGCTGAAACAATTCCAGACTCTCGGCTCAAAATCCTTTTGTTTTCACTGACTCTACTGTCCGAAAAAAACAAAAATTAATTGATGTGCCCCGAGTAGCACTCTGTTAAATACTGACGAAAAAAAAAACAATCTCATTTTATTTCAATTGTCTTCGATATTGCACGAATTCATCATCAGGTTCATTGGATTTTCGAGTGCGTTTCAAAGCAAAAAGCACTTTCGCATGGTGGGGAATTTGGCACAAGTTTTGCATTCTCAAGTATTAACGTTGATTCAGGGGCTTACGCGTCGGATATGCCGGTAATTTTGAGGACTAATCAATGGGCAAACGAGTCTCGATTCAGTATTCTGTAATCTCATTAGTGTTTTCCGATTTCTCACCTCTCGCCACTCGTTGCTTCTTTTGCAGGTCAACAAACAGTATACGGCCAACGATCTGGAGGCTTTTATGAAGATCGCCGCCAACTGGCAAAATTCCAATCACAACTTGCTGGAGGGCGTCGACTTGAAGACGGGTAAGTTTAAACGCTCTCTCTTCTTTATTGTAGAGCCCATCTAAAATGTACTGAATTTGCAGAAATGACACAGTACATGAACAGTCCATCCATGAACATGTACAAGAAGAGGGAGCGCACCCAGAACTGGAACCACCAGGAAAAGAAATACCTTCTGGATCTCTGTCGCAAGGATATGCGCATCATCGAGAACAAAAGATTGGATGCCGGCCTGACAGCTGTCAAAAACAAGGCCTGGAAGATCATACACCAGAAGTTCTCCAATCAATTCGGCACCGATCGCACCTGCAATCGCCTCAAAGAACAATGGCGACGGATGAAAGGTAGGTTTTTATTTAATAACATATAACTAAGCAAAAGTATGAAGTGTAAATAATTATAATAAATAATAATTCTCGAGGTCCAGAGCCTATAGCTTTGCCAATTTTAGTCCGATTTCCAAGTCGCATACCTTTAAATGTTTGCAATCGCATCCTTGATAAAACTGCATTCAAAAGTTTTCATTTTTTGTTGGTCAAAATTTTGACACATGTTCATGTCGAGTTTTTCCAAGTTTTCTCGAGCTCCGCAGTTCATATCTTTATCAATTTAAATCTGAGTGTTCAATGGCTTGCGGAAAATATGTGTCAGTCTAATCCTTTCTTTTATTTTCAGCCTGCACTCGCAATGAAATTCTGGACTATAACAATCGCTTAGCCAGATTCGGAGCAGAGGTGGCTGATCGCAAAAAGCCATCGCCGTTCACCTTCGAAGTGTGGGATTTCATGCAGGAGGCGAAGAAGGCCTGCAAATCTGAGGCTCTGGACGGCATCGACTACTCCAAGATTCCCCTGGCTTTGGAAGAAGGCTTCGAGTATCGTGATGACTACAAGTTCAATGCCGACGAGCACGATATGGATGAGTAAGTTGATAGACTACTGGGAGTTGGAGTAGATCCTTAACGATGCCTTTTCTTTATTTAAGCAGCAGCCGCACACCGCCGCAAGAGCTGTGCGACGTGGACATCAAGGAGGAGGAGAACAACGAGACCTTCAACGAGACCTTCAACAATCACCATCTCAGCCAGAGCGACATCCATGGCGGTGGCGAGCGGTTGAGTGTGTCGCCCAATCACAGCATCAGTCGCAACGGAATCCACGAGGCCGAGAGTCCTGCCACAGTTTCCGCAGCGGCGGCTGGCATGGATACGAGCGGTGCCTTCCTGCCCGGAGGAGCTGACATGAGCGGCTTCCAGGCCAACTTCAATATGAACAACATATCCGCCACACTGGAGGCCCTGAATGCCCTGCGATCTGGCCAGTTTCCCAGTGCGGCTGCAGCGGCGGCGGCTGCCATTCAGCAGCATCAGGCGCAGGCCCAAGTGGCCATGCACCACCAGCAGCACAGCAGCAGCAGCAGCAACAACAACAACAATAACAACAACAATGAGGATGAGGAGGAGGGCATGAAGCCGCTGGCCAAGAGGCAACGCACCAGCAGTGGCAGCATCCTGAGTGGCGAGGATCAACCCACATCCCTGGTGAACTCATTGCCCGCTGGCGCGGAATGTCAGGCTCTGGAGCGTTCCGGCAGCAGCAGCAATGGAGGAGCAGGCATCTCAGGAGCGGCCGTGGCCAGCAGTTCGAATGCCAACAGCAGTGGCAACAGCAACTTTGAGCTGCGCATGTTCATGGAGATGCAGAGCAAGGAGCACATGATGCGCATGAAAATCCTCGAGGTGCAGTTGCAGGCGGCCAAGCACAGTCGCGATCTGGTGGAGATCAACAAGACGCTGGCGCTGCAGAAGCTGCAGGAGCTGGCCAGCAAGCGACTGCCCAGTTAGGAGGCAGTGCAGCAGCTGAAGGAGCAGAAGAAGCAGCAGAAGGAGGAGCATCAGCAGTTTCATGTTACATTAGTTTATAGAATAAAAGAAACCCATTCCCGCAGGCACGTTCGCAGGCAGAGAACGCGGCTAGGCGGGGATCGGCTAGAGTTAGCATTAGTGTTAGTCCTAAGTTGAAAGCAGGATCCATAGCTTCACATCCACATTGACAAACACAAACACACACATACACACACACAGAGAGACATTCCTGGCATTGTTGATCAGTATTTGAAAGCTAGAAGCGAATCCCCCGAAACACACGAGAACCCAGAAACCAAGCGAGGATCAGGAGGCGCTCGGAAGTATGCCATAATCTTATGATGATGAATCCTAGCCTACCTCACATAAAGCACACACACACAAATATTCAGATATCAGACACACTCGTACACTCACACAGTTACACTCTCTTCTGGCCTAACCAGCACTTGACCAAGTCAAGTCAAGTTTAGTTAGTTTCTAGTTTTAGCTCGTATGGGAATCACTCTCTCCAAGTTGCTCAACTACCACAAATGTATTGTACTTACGTTTCTTGACTTCAGTTTACGTTCTGCTACCACCACTAACGATTTAAACCAACATTGAATGCACAAATGATTACTTTTCGTTGTCCTAAGAGAAGAACTCTTATGTATGTAGATGCATCATTACAATCGGCAGTCGTCTCTGATTTTAATTCTTACTTTAACTTGTATTTATTTTTATCTTTGTATAGACTATGTTGATATATATACGACCCTCTATATATGTTTGTTTGAATGCCATATTAAATGAAAGTTCTTTTTAATATCCTTTTTTCCATTTGCGCTGCAAAACAAATTGTTACCACATATGATATATATATATAAGCAAGTTCCCGCTTCGAAGAGGGGCTAACAAAGGCCTCGAATTGGTCTTCAGTTGTCGCAGAAGGCTTCATTGTAAAGCGTGTAAATGAAAGATACAAAATATTTTAAATAAAATACAAAAGAAAGAACAGAACACGTTTTGGTTTCTACCACACTTTATATAGTTTGGTTCATGATGGAATTATCAAGTGCCTTGACTTTACTACGAATTTAATGAGTTTTATTTCACTGTTTTGCGTTCTGGCTTTTTATCTTCCAGGGATCGTATCTCCTTATCCACTTTTATGATCTTCGTCGTGACTTCGTTCTTCTGACTAAGAATCTTTTCTCTCAGTGCCTTCAGTTGCTCTCTTTGCTGGTTAAAAAAAAAAGTTAAGAAACGTTCTCATTTCGGTATCGTTGAACTACTAACCAACTTAAGGAAATGTATATTCTCCTCTGCCCTAGCTTTCTCAAACAAATGCTTCGATATATTTCTGGAAAAATTTCCAATGTCTGTTAATCTATATATGTATAAATAGTATTTACTTCAACTTACTTGTTGTCTTGGGCGAATTGGCATATCCTGGGCCGCAATAGTTGAAATAACCTTTCTAAAGCCTTCAGCATTTCGGTTTAGTTGTTGATATACAACCTAAATAATTTTGAATTTCCAGTGTGAAGGATAGAAATTGACTAACTCAATTCTATGAAGTATGCTACTGTGTTGCCTACCTCTGATTTAAGATTCTTGATCTTTTTTTTCAAGAGATTTTTTGAACCTTTCTAGCATTTCTTTCAACTCCCTTATTTCCTTTGCAAGCTTCTCCCTCGTTTTCTGTGATTTTCGACTGGTTTTTGTTTCCATTTTTTTTATTTCCGCTTCCAGTTCGTTAATATGAATGGCGATTTCCTTTAACCTGTTCATTCTAAGTCTTTCGAATTGCTCCTTGCCCTGTTTGATTTATGTTTTTTAAAATATTTTTCACAATTTTAACTTATTTAGGTACACACCAACTTAAGGAAATAGTTAAGTTCCTCGCCTCTTCCTTTTTCTGAAAGTTTGTCGTTAAACTGTCGCCTAATGGATTGAAAAATTTATAATTGAATTAATTTTAATTTTAAAATTAATATTATATTAGAGCGAGTTTGTACGGGAAATCCTTGTTGGCCAGAAAAGAGAAGTCTCTAAAAAAAGAAGCATAATACCCTTGGTTCACTCTTGCATAACGTTTTAACTCGCCGATTAATAATAATGTTAGAAATTATGCATAAGTTATAACGGTTAAACTACTCACTTTATAGTTTCTTGATATATCATGCGTGATTTTAAAATCCTGTTCCATGATGTGAAACAAAGAAGTCGCGACACAGCGAACATTTTTTTTAATTTTGGTGTATTTTAAAATTATGTGTGGCAGAAACTCATTATATAGGTTTTTTTCAAAGTAAGGCAATTATCAAAAGCAGGTCTTTTTAAAAAACAAAATTTTGTTGTTTATTTTCTAGTCTTACTCATTAAAAATGATTTAAAATTCATTTAAAGGGAATTTTTATGGGATCTTTTAAACAAAGCATACTTGTTTGCATTTTTACGACCCCAAAAATATTGATAAGAAAATTAAAATCCCCGATAATTTCTGCAAATTCAAAATCGTTTATTGTAACATTGTTTGTTCCTAAGCGTACATGGTTTTTGGTCTGGGACCCACTGGAGAATCGTAGATAATTGGTCGAGGAGGTGCTTGCGGAGAGCTGAAGGGGCTTCCATTATTTCGGGGTCCAGATCCTGGTCCAGTGTGACGAGATGGCGATGCCTCACCGGGAGTGGGAAGGCAGCTCAAAAGGCCCAGAATGAGCAGGCAGCACAGAGCGAACAGCTTCATTGTTGAAAATCTTAAATGTTTTTGAATGCCTATCTTTAACTAAGTGGGTGCTTTTATACTTGTGCGATTGCCTCTGAGATTGGGAATCACTCGGGGGGATTTTGCTATTCGCTAAAATCACCGACTTTAGATGATTTCTTATCGCTTCCACTTCCCTGTTTCTTCCCCTTGTTTTCCAGATTGGCATTCACCTTCACATCGAACTCCATGCCCCGAATGCAACGTGTTAAATCGGTCAGTTGTCCCTCAACGCGTTTTTGCTGAATAGAGAGCTCATGGGAATGCATATCCAGAAATGCACGATCCTAGAGATACATAGTTTGCCTAGCATTGATAATTCATTCGTAACAATAACAACATACCGTTCTCAGATCCTCTAATTTGAGCTGCTTTCGTATTTGATTGTGATCGGGCAAAACGACCAGATAACGCCTATATGTTATTTAATAAAAAGCATTTAAATGGTATTGGTATTGAATGGATTTAATTGCTTTTACCTAACGGGCCAACATCTGAAGTGGCTGATGATAGAACGGATTATTTTATTCATGCTAAATAACTAAAAATGATACGGGAAATTTTGATGATTTATAAAATTTGATTGAATTATCAAAGTTGGTGTCATAAAATTTAGCTTTTTTTATATTTTGTATTTAAGCTGTTTAATATACATTTTTTTTAAATGTTTTGGAACATCCTATATTTTTCGCTTACCTACGCTATAATAAGTAAAATAAGTAAAGACAAAAGATTTGGCATTTAAGATACTCCGAAAAGTATGCTAAGCATTCTTTTATCCACCAGGTGGCGCGTTGGTATTAAATGTCGAACTCATGTAAAAACTGCTGGTTTAATTATATGTTAAAAATAAATTGCAAACAATATCCAAAATAGGAAGATATCAATAAAAGCAAATATTTAAAAAAATTATTTATTCATTCTTAATTTCCGGAGGGCGTCTTTAAGGTCTTTCAGCACTACCATAAGCTCTTCCTTTGCAGCCCTCGCCTCCGCTGACGTGGTTTTCTCAAGAGCTTTGATCTGCATTTGAAGAGACTCGATTTGCGCGGTTAGTTCTATGATCTTTGCCTCTTTTCCCTTGTTGACTTCCAAAAGTTTCTTAAGGTATATATTTAGTTATTAATATTAAGAAGTTAAAAGAGATATTGATGCTAAGATACGTACAACATGGTAAGGTTCGACACCGCCACTGCCTCTGCCACCCTTGTCAAATAGGTCGCTAAATGGCTGTCTTCTTCTGCAGCAAAAAATTATTTAAAAGGAATGTATTATGTTAAAATACCTACATATTCTTAGGCAAGACATTTCTCGACGTTACCAAAGTTATAACCTTGTACGCCCCCCGAAACATTATGCAGCCAAAAGTTGTATTTTAAATTTGTATATGGTATAAATTAATGAGTTTTTTTGCTGCGGTATCTAGATTTGCTAAAGTCCAAACAAAGTTCTTAGATATTTTCTTATATATTTTTTCGGCTTGAGAATTTGTTTATAACTTTATAACTTATTCGATCGAAGTAATCGTATTCCTTTCGTGTCACAAGTTTACACATCAAAGAATTATTAGATTTATACAAACTTAGGATTCATCAGCAGACTAAAACTCCTTTTTAGATTGAACTATTTTTTTAATTTTTTACAAATCATCCGTGATAAACAATCAATCAATTCGCGATGATTTGGGACTTCTTTACCTTTATACGCGGAGTTAGTGAGTTCAGTGCCACAGCTCTATTGATGTTATTTGTCTGCATGGAAGAGGCGGTTAGCCAGGGAGGTGAGAACAAACCTTATGTAACCAGGTAATAAATAGTTCTAAATTATGTTTTACCTTAAATTTAAATAAATACAATTATTTTAATAGCGTACATTATGGCTTGGTGGTGATGTTGGTGATGCACGTGTTCGGCTTCGTATCTGGAGCCCATGCAAATCCGTGTACTTCGATCTCGTGCTGTTTCATGGGCCATATCTCCTCGGAGTTGATGATCATATATGTGGCTTGCCAACTGGCAGGCGGATTCTTTGGCTACTTTCTGCTGCTGCAACTTTTGCCCAAGGAAGTGCTTAATAGCAGCGAATCGGCGATTTGTTTTGTGGTACCAATGGACAATCTCTCCACTTCCCAGATTTTAATCATTGAATCTGTTCTTACTGCTGTGTTTGTACTTGGATGGTGTGCCTTGTGGGATGTGCGAAATGGAAGATTCCTGGACTCGGCCACTATTCGAATGGGTCTCCTCGTTATGGCCTGCAGTTTTGCAGGGGTAAGTTGAAGCACTTAAATCTGTTACAAAGTTACTATCCATATTTTTTTTTAACCATAATAATAACGAATATTTTTCAAGTTACCATTTGACAACATTTTAAAAGGTCACAGAATAAAATTCAATGATTTTTGTAATAAACACTGAAAGATTCTTCTGATAAAGAATGAATTTAATCTTTGAGTGGACATCAGAATTCAAAATATGAATACAAATTATTTAGTTCTTTCCACGCACAAAATTCATCACTAATAAATATAAATCTTATCATAAAAACCACAACTTTGAGTGGCAATAAACATTTCAAAATAGTAAATTCAGCAACTTGCAGTCTCACTAAATCCAATTAGTTTTAGTGGCAGGTTGAGGGTAAAGATATCAATAGTTTGTTTTGGATTCTTATCATTTCTACCTTTTTCAGGGTCAACTAACAGGAGCTTCTATGAATCCGGCCAGAACCCTCGTGCCCGCATTCTTCCAGGGCAAACTGGAATCGGTGCTAATGCAGCTAAGTGGCCAAGTCTTGTCTGCTATCATGGTTCCCTTTATCTGGAAGAAGGCGTACACCCCGCGCTATAAGCCCCTCGAAATCCCCATTTACACCAACCTAAACTAAACTGCGGCTCTAAAAAGCATGTGTGTGACAATAAACGTGAGCTGGGCATTTGTGGCTACTGTGTGCTTTATTTGATCAAGTGAATGGGCAATTAAATATTAACGATAAGCATTTCGTGGTGGCAGGAAGGTAATCTCGTTCAGATAAGCATAGCATTTGCATTAGATTATTTATATAGACGGCAGTCGTAGGATTTTAGTTAAGGTATTTATTTGTACGCTTTGCAACTTAAAACTAAACCGCATTCAGCTGACACAGACTTAAAAAATAGCTTGTCCTACGGCTACACTAAGCCAAATTCTAGGCGAGTTCCGCCTCCGAGGTTCGTTTCGTTGACAGCGTGGTCTCGTCCATCGCATCCAAGTCCTCCACCTCCCGCCGGAAGGCGTACTTGTAGATCAGCGAGGCAACCAGAGCTCCACCCAAGGGACCCACCCAGTAGATCCAGTGGTTCTCCCAGACTCCATTCCAAATGGCCGGAGCGAAGGATCGCACGGGATTCATGCTGGCCCCAGTCATTTGACCCTGTAAAAGGATAAATTTATATTGATTTATATCAGATTTATATAAGTATATGTACATCGTATATTATAAACCAAATTCCAACGATAAGCGCCTAAATAAATCTCACTTCCTTTGTCGCTAATCATTTGTTTTATTGACAGGTGCGATAAACTGCTGTGATTTATCATTTAATCTTGAAATTATTAATAATGATTACATGTCAATTTAAAATAATGGTCAAATCATCAATTAGTTATAAGTACCTTTGGCGAACTATTCATGATCGCAGTGATCGCTACAGAAATTCAAACTGTTGACAATTCAAAAATAAATATTGCAATTATTTTGTTATATTTGTTTCGAAACCAAGATTTTGCAAGGGCTTTGATAACGCGGGCTATCGCACGTTTCAATAAAAATAAATGCACTGATTTAGCAAAACCAAGAAAACGAAAAAGCGTGTGCATTGATAATAAAAATATCCAGAAAATATTATAAAAATGATTTTCGATTTATTAAAACTTACCGCGGTGAGGGAAAGACACGAGATGGCGAGACCGAAGCGAACTGGCACCGAATCCTGTTTGGAGGCATTGCGAGGATCCCAGACGCCGCAGCAGATGAAAATGAGGACGGAGGTGATCAGGAACTCAATGGCCACGCCCTGCCAACTGGTCAAGGTGCTGTTGAGGGTGGTGAGGCACACGCCATTGGGCGTGGCCGTGCTGAAGATGGCATTCGCCGGGAGCACCGCCTTCAGCAGTCCATAGCCAATGAAGGCCCCCACCATTTGGGCCACAAAGTAGGCCAAGGCCATTGGCAGCGAGATCATGTTGTAGACGTAGGTGGCCAAGGTAACTGCGGGATTCAGATGGGCTCCACACACAGATCCGAAGCACTGGATGCAGATCAGCACTACGAATCCGAAGTTCAGAGAGCTCTGGAAGTTGGAGTTGCTGAACGCGGAGTTCTCGATGCAACCCATGCAACCCAGGAACATCAGCATCGCGGTGGCAATCATTTCGGCCATGACAATCGAGATGTTGTCCATGTGGCGGCGCTGCAGCAACCAGCATGTTGAACGGCTGCAAGATAAACACATAATCCAGTTAGAAAAATTAACGCACTTTTCATAAACAACACTTGTTTTTAATCCAATTTTGGTTTGATTTTTGTGTCACAGAATAATACACTTTGTTTTAAATACTATAATCTAAAGTACTCTACAAACTTAAAAATAAATAAATAATATCATTTGAAGGTATGGAATATTAATAAGCTACTCAGATTTTATTAAAATTATTTTTATTATATTTCCATTGGATATTCTTATTCCTTTTCTATTGATCGTTTTTGTTTTTACTCAAAAGTTTTTTATACAGAAACAAAAAAGCTTAAGCTTGCGGCACAATGTTATAACTTTTTATGGTAGCACAATAATAATTACAAAATAATCTTTCAACTGGTAACTAAATTTGATAACTGGAAAAATCTGGAACTGAGCAATTTTTCCATTTTGGAGTTTCCGTTTGATTAGCGTTTAAGTTCCCAGGATCACCTTGCAGTTATAGCCATAGTTTCAGAGCGTGGAGACGAGCGATTAATCCAAACGGGGACGTGGTTCAACGCAAACTGGAGTGCACTTCAAGTTCTCAATGGCCACGGATCGCATACTCTATCGCGGACTCTTAATCGCTGGCAATCTCGTCCCACAAGCGTTTAATCGCCTCAGGTCGGTTATCAGGCAGCAGTCCTATATATATATATATAGTATATATTTACCCAAGAATTGCCGAACATTCGGGTTCGTGTGCTCCATTCACTCGAGTGCGTAGGTCCACTTTTATGGCGATGTCTAGTCCGAGTTAGAGACAACTTACTATGGTGGCTCGACATTTAGTAAGTGTCTTTTGTGAATTGATAAGACAACTTTTATCGATTTGTTTAAGCCCTGACGGCGGTGCATTGTCTTAATTGTATTATTATTGTAATACCTAGAAATCAATTGTTTACGTCAAAGAGGAACTAATATTAAATCATTCATGCCTAGAGGGCCTTATCAAGAATGTGGTGATTAGTAGGTTTTTCTAATCACCAACTATAATAAATAGTTTAACAATCCTAGGGTTTTTTATTTCCGATAATTAGAAACGTTTGGTTGTGTGTGTGTGACCTACAATCAAATGCGAGCCCCCAAAAATTGCAATTTTCGGCCATGTATGCTATTCAAACTATAAAAATGCTACCAAATTTTAATTGGTTAATGTTAACACTATTTAAAAAGGAACCTTATAAGTACAACCAATTAATTTGCATAACTAATACTAGTATGTGTTGTAAAGACTTAAGTTGTAAAATATATTTTTTCAATAGGTTGTGATCAATCTTTTCGGTTAGTAATTCTTTATTTTAAGTTATAACAAAACTCTGATTCAGGTTAGAGGTTTTTTTTTAATTTTATTTTTAGAGTATATGAATTAACATAATTCGAACATATATAATATTTATCTCGTTAAGATTCGGCAGGTACAACTAGGAAATGCAAACTAAATTATTGCACTATAACCTCTCCGATCATGCGGATTTTGGCATCGGAGCTTCTCAGATCGATCTCCTCATCGCCCTTGAAAGCCATCCTGTAGATCAGCGAGGACACGGCTCCTGCCACCAAAGGACCCACCCAGTAAATCCAATGATGCGCCCAGGAGTTGTTCCAAACAGCGGGACCCAAAGATCTCGTTGGATTCATGCTAGCGCCGGTAAATAAACCCTAAAAGGACAGAAACAAAGTTAAGTTCCTGTTTTCTTTATAATAGAAAATTTACTTACCGCTGTGATGATCAGACAGGAAACAGTTAAACCAAACCTTATGGCCACCGAATCCTGCAGCTTCGCATTTCGAGGATCCCAAACTGCACAGGCCACCGTGACCAAACAGAGAGTGATTAAAAACTCGATGAAAACGCCTTGAAGTTCACTGATTTCCGGCGCCAAAACAGTGACACAAACTCCCGCAGGATTGTCCACGCCCTTGATGTCATCTTCCGGCAAAACAGCCACCAGCAATCCGTAACCAATCAAGGCTCCCGCCACTTGGGCCACAAAATATGCGATGGCCTTGGCCCAACCAATAACGCCATAGAGAAAGGCGGCCAAAGTGATGGCAGGATTCAAGTGGGCTCCCGAAACCGAACCAAAGCACTGGATGGCAATCAGGATGGCCAAGCCGAAGGTAAGGCCACTTCGAAAGTGGGTGTTGGGGAAGGCAGGACTGTCCACACAGCCCATGCAGGCCACAAAAACAAACATCGCCGTGGCCACAAGTTCACCGAAGAAACAGGCTATTGCAGATCTATGGTGTCCTTCAAGGCGCCACCTGGCGGTCGGATTGGAGTCCTGCGATTTTTGCTTCTGCTGCGACATGCTGACTGAACACTACTGCCAAAATATTTTCGGTCAGCCGCCCAAGTGAGCCAATTCGACCGGAGGTGCGGACTCCAAATTTACGCCAATCAATCAATATCCATTATAAAACCTTAATGCTAATTATCGAGCTGAGATTGGGGGAGCAGCCCCCGCCCACCGATTTAGGATAGATCAATTCATCAAGGGGCATTTTTCTGGGGCTTTGCTCAGCCGTAATTATCGGCCTGATATATAGTCTGCGCCACTGCCATTTCGCCCGATTTGCGCTCAATCTTATCTCATTAAGATCTTTATCGAACGGCGAACGGGGCGCCAACTTACGGACACTGTCTGTGAATCGGGCCAACAAGGCCAATAAACCTGGTCTATGGCATTTGGGAATTTCGAGGAGTGGTAAAGCCAGCATTAGCATATCACACATAGTCCAAAGTCAATTTGGAACCACACAACATGCAATAACTTTCAATTAGTGTTCTTTTTGTTGGGCCACGCGTCAAGAAGGTATTAATTCGCAGACTGCTAATAAGCTTCGCTAAGTGTAGTTTGATTGGTCGATTTGCAGGCATTTAAAATATTTCGAATACAATGACTAGGTTTTCTTACTCGAAATGTTTCTTAGAAAATTAGTTAAAAGCATAGCAAACCAGATTAATGGGAAAATGTTTCCCATTTTTTCATACAACTAAATTAGCATATAATTTATTTGAAATGTTTCATATCAACATTTCTTTAAAAATAACTTATTTAAGTATGCTAAGTAATCCCAAAGAGGCTCTTGGAATGGAATGATCTTAATAAACTAAATATCAACCTCAGGAATGAATCCCAAAAGTCTTCCAGCCAGGGTTTATAATAAAAATACAAAGTTTCGTTTTTAGAATAGATTAAAAATCTCGATGTTCTTTATTACTGAAGGCATTTAGTGAGTTCACGAAGAGAATCGCAGCTTCGAAAGTGTGCATTTTGCAACGCTTGAGCACTTTGTGAAAACACAATCTAAATTATTATTATTTTAAAATTCGGCGTCTTAGATTAGGGGTAAATTAGTTGGGGCTTTCGCTACAGCCGCGTCTTTGGCATCTACGACAGCTGGACGTCCTCCAAGTGGCGCAGCTTCTCGGTGGGCGTGATCTCCGCCTCCACAACCTCCCGACGGAAGACGACCTTGTAGGCGTAGGCACTCACGGCGGCTCCACTGAGCGGAGCCAGCCAGTAGATCCAGTTGAACTCGAAGTGGGTGTTCCACAGGGCGGGGGCGAAGGACCTGGCAGGGTTCATGCTGGCACCGGTGAAGGGTCCCTAAAAAAAGAGGAGAGGTTTACTAATAATATTCCAAAAGTTTCTGAGAATGATAAAAGAACCCTTTTGCAAATTTGTTTCCTTTTCTTGTTATTTAAACATAATTAAGCAAGGTATACAAATTTCTAGTCTCTTTAGTTACAATTATTTTTTATATCATAATAAATCATATCCTTAATACTTATATGAAAAAATGTGTGTTATGTGCAATAATATTTTTTTTATAAATAATTACGTTTTGTGGATGTTGTTAACAGCTACTCAAAAAATTTTTTAAATTAAAAGTCATAAAGGAAAGAGCTAATGTTGAGTTGCACTTAAATACTACTTTACTACCAAAAAGCTGAATTAGCAATTAAGAAAATTCATTTTTAGAGCACTTCAAAAGGCAAAAATATTGTTTTTTTGTGGCTAAAAGCTATAGCATGTGGTAACTTACGGCAGCACAGGCGAGACCGGCGATGGCCAGGCCGAAACGAATGCCGACGGAGTCGTGGAACTTGGCGTTGCGCGGATCCCAGACGCCGCAGCAGACGATGATCAGGACGGAGGTGATGACGAACTCGATGCCGAAGGCCTGGCCGGGGGTGACGGCATTGGGCAAGGTCACGCAGAGGCCGTTGCCCGCCGACAGAGTGTCGCTGGGCAGCAGGATCATCAGCAGTCCGTAGCCGATGAAGGCGCCCAGCATCTGGGCAATGAAGTAGGCGAAGGCCATTGGCAGGGAGACCATTTCGTAGATGTAGGCAGCCACGGTTACGGCCGGGTTGAGATGCGCTCCGGAAACGCAGCCGAAGCACTGAATGGCAATCAAGACGGCGAAGCCGAAGTTGAGCACAATCTGCAGATGGTGGTTGGGGAACTGCGTCGTGGACACACAGCCCATGCAGCCGAGGAAGACCAGGATGCCGGTGCCGATGAGTTCGCCCAGGAAGGCGGAGATTTTGTCCAGCGTCGATCCCTTCATTTTGAATACCTTACAGCAACTGAAATGGTCAGAAGGGCGGTTGAAAAAGGCCACACCAAAAAAGCCAACAGCAACCCTCTCTTTCACTCTCCCCCTATCTCCCTGTCTCTTTTCCGCAGGCCTACTTAGCGGGCTCATCAATCATATCCTATCATTAGCCATCATTAGCCATCCTATCAATTCCGTAAGCCTTCAATGCGAATTAAATCTCCGCAATTCGCAGTTGGCTACATTTAAGTGTTGTGGTATTTATTGTGTGTTCTATTCAAAACCTTGACAATTGTTGTCCGTCTTGAGTGATTTCCAAGGGATTTTCCACCCCTTGTTGATCCACCCCTTTTGCTGACATTTCATCGATTTTTCAAACTTTCTGTAAGAGTAACACTATTATTTTGATCCGAGACACAAGCTGTTGGAATTGAGACTAAAACCTTAGACGGTTAGATTATGCGAAGAACACCAAAATATAGATTAAGTATAACAGTAGCTCTTTCGATTGAGTTTTTAGCAATCAATACAGTTTATAGATAAACTGTCAAATCAAATTGGAAAAAAACCAAACAAAAATCAAAGCATTCTCATAAAACAATAACCTTTCTATGTCACTGTTATCAGTTGAGAGCCTCTTGAACGATTGGTTTCCAAAATCCGTTTATTGTGATTAGAAAATCCATGTTACTTGGTATCAATTCACATACTTTTGGGAGTCATTTGTCAAAGAATTATCTCCTTGTGTTTTCTAAATGATTACTTTTCTTAACTTTTAGCCCAAATAATAATTACCGAATTTCGCGACTCATTTTGACACTTGTCTGGTTTTTGTTTTAAATCTTGACAGATGACACTATATATATTTTTTATCTTTTAGCGGACTTTTCGCGTTTTATTCCGACCGCTTGGGAGCGAGTGAAAATTTACACAGCGACAGCGGGACTGTCAATGTCAATCTGAGGCGTTGGAGTAGCCATAGTCAAATATTTATATCCATATCTATATAATATTGCGTAAATCAAAAGCCCATTTTTAGCCCCTGTGCTGCGAGAGAGCCCCCCACACACACAGATACGGAAACACCTCGAGAAACCACACACAAATATATAAAAATTAGCAAATCCTACTGGCGGAGCATAAAAAAGTCAAGTGTCCAGAATTTATGAGCATCTAAAACGCTCATTCGCTGCTCACAACTGCTCTCTGATATTATCTCTTTGTGATATTATCTCTGGAGCGATGCTCTCTCTCGCTTTCACATGTCCTACCAGTGGCATTTGAATATTGTAGCATCTGAGCAGCAATATAGATAATTTTCTAGGAAAAACTAACCAGATATTAACACTTTCCATGCGTGTTTACATATTGTATTTTCCTGAATGAAATCTGTTCATTAACAAACTATATGAATTAATTATAAGTTTTTGGGTATACCAAATGCAAAATAGAATTGTTTTTGAACAAAACATTTTAAAATAGGTATACAAAATAAAGAGATTTCTATCAATAGCTTTGCTTAACAAGCAAGTTAACCAAGTTTGCTAATATTTGCAGTAAGTAGAAAAATACAGGTTTTAAAGCCTCAATTAAGCTCTAATTGGTATTTAAAATCTGTATAATTATTTTCTGTGTACTAAAGCCAATATGGAGAAGGGGTGGCAGTGGTTGAATCACTACAATGTGATGTGCGAATGCGTGACGCTTTGGGGCAATTGAAACCGGCCACTGCGGATTGATAACAGAGTGGACGCCTATCAATTACCACGCTCGATTTCTATCAATTGCAATTGCTGCAATTGGCAATTGCATTGCGTGAATCGGAGTACGCAATGTGGCAAACAAATCACGGCAAATCTCAGCGCGCCTGTCGATCAAATTGCACGCAATTTGCGTTATTAAGTGTCTCAATCACAATTGGAGCGGCATCTGGCAATAAAAAAATATTTAAAATAATTGTTTCGAAAGCCTTGATGTTGCATAACAGCTAGCACGATAACCCAGGTGATCTTTCTGCGAACTTTTCTATAACTTTTGACCCTTACTGACCTTTCATAATATTTATAAATAAAACAATAGCTATAATCTCTTAGTATGATCCGTACAACCCACAAAGAAAATAGCTAAGGCAAAACGTTTTGGCTCTTGGCCAAGAGCAAATGTTTGGCCATATTATTGACAGTTGGTAAAAAACAAAGAGAGCGACACGTTTTGGCAAAGAGCTAAGAGACCAAAGTCAAAACAATAAACACGCGATGGATCAAGGGGTTAAAAATAAATCACACTGATTTGATTCGCTTCTGCAAAGCGTCAAGCTAGTAATTTAATTACCACCTATTACCATATTTTCCATGCCCAGAAGGATCACGTATCATTCATGGGATCGCTGCATGGGCCACGATTTCCAGTGCCCCGCGGCCCTAATTGACGATAAACTTCGATCATCGGGATGACTGATCTTTATTATTATAATCCATTTTCATTGTTTGTCTAAGTGACGGAACGTGACTGGGAGGTTCTATTGCCATATTTTGGGTGAGTGTTAATAGCAGGTGTTGTGTCTTTTCTGCGGAAGTTGGCTCTGTTAATTAGCAGAGGTGTGCGATAAGGACGGACACTCCTCGGAGCTTTTCCGTAAGCTTAACCGATAGGACTTCAAGCTTTGGCAGAACTTCGATCGGTTAGCTTTTCGCCGAGCTTCCCGCAGAGCTTCCTTATCGGCCGTCGGTTATTAACTGTTAAATTATGACTAACGAAAGCGGTTATAAACGCTTAGCCAGAAGCTCATCGTAAAAAACTTGTTAACTTTTGAAGAACCGTTAATCAATCGCAGCTGATAAGCCTCAGCCGATATCAACTGATAATTGGGCCTGCTTAAGAAGTGATTTTTTTGCTGTTGGCCCTAAAACTGTTGGCCATAAACCACAAGCACTGTCAGCCGACCGCTGATAACGCACTGAGTGATGTTGTATTGGGATCGGCACTGTCTGTCGTCGGCATAATATCACAGGCTTAATTTGGCCATAATTGGGCCAAGTCAAATCGGATTTACTCGTCAGACTTTTGACATCGGCCCGCATTTATGGCTATTTCGAAGTCCGATAATAATCGGGTGAAAAGAAAAACCACACATATACGGCGGCTTTTTTTATGGCATTCCAATTGCCAGCTGGATCGTAATTGAGGCTCATTATAGTGCCGCGGGTCGGGAGCTTTAGTTTCCATTGATCTTGATTCACAGCAGCCTGTCTCCCCAGATCTGCTCTTATCTTTCCGGCTTATCAGGCCAACGGAAACTGCTGACGCTCAGTTGCGCAACAGGTTGATGGCATTGCCACCTCGGAGTTCAGTGGGCATAGGCTTTTGGCCAAGTTATTTACGACTGCAAATATAAGGTGTAATAAACGAAAAAACGAAAAAAAAAAAAAATAGATCCGAACGGAGGGCGCCAGTTATTAAGCCAAAAACAACTCTGGCTGCGAGACAGCTGAAGGTTTCAGATTTGCGGGCCAAAATTAGTGCCTTCAGCTTATCAGCTGGCCACGCGGTTAGCGCACTTGAAATCAGATTACTCATATTATAATAATTGTTGACAAGCTTTTTGGTTAGTTAGACCATCACAGAGCAGACAATTGGCTAATAACTAACCAATAACATGTGCTGAGAACACTGATAACATTCGGCATTGACCTAGGCAGCGAATTTCTTTGGCCTCCAAAGAGGGCGTGTCGGTCATAAATTTATGGTTCGATGCGGCTTCTAATCGAAAAATTTGTTCGCTTGCTCGCCTGCTATTTATACCCACTTCTATTATATATGTGCAGCACATCTGATAATCCAAAGTGTGCAAGGGCGATAAGGAGTGAGTGGTAGAGTACAAACACTCAGCCGGAATTAAGCCACAGCTTATGCATTATGCAACGGCAGAGCGTCTTGAATTGGAACTAAACTTTGCTCAATGACGGCTGAGACCCAGTTGATAACCCTGCGGCTGAGTAGCCCCTTATCAAGTGCCAAAGTAACTAACTTAATCATATTTCCGAGTGGCCACGGTTTGCCGAGCACAAATATGATGTCGTGGGATTGAATGACATCAACCAACTGTGAAAGATCACAGGGTTGTAGCATAAAACTGGATTTGTTTTTTCGAAAATACAATTAGCATATAGGAATTGCCATATTGGACACTTGACTGGCCCAATTTGAGCCTGGGGAACTGTTCCGTGTTTAACCGGTTTCTAGATCATATGATGACGTTACAATTAGGCCAAATCGAATTCCGTTTAATGGAGTTACTAACGTATCGACGGGGCACGCGATTCGACACTTGATTGATTTATCAAGCTTGATTAGCACAAATTATCGGGCAACTCGTGAGTTTCTCCGAACAGATCTTAATCGAAGGCATGTGTTAAATTATATAAAATCTTAAATTTGGTGGTAATAGATTATTTTACACTAACAATTTAGCAAGAGAGTTTGTTTTTGCTTTCCCTTCTCTACTCATTAACTAATCAGATCCAAATTAAAGATTGATTAATGGAAATTTTTGCGTTCAGCTTGATTAAATCGATTCAATGTGATTCACAAGAACAATGGAAATAATAACTTTGAATGAATTGTTTCACTGTATATTCAAGTGTCATTTCTCTGAATTATGAATGTACATGATTATTTTTAAGATCCCGACTCTAAACTTAAATTCTGCGGTTGAGATTAAGCTAACAACATTATCAGACTCTGCGACCTTCAAGGCAGACGAAAAAATGTTGATTATTTTGGCTTTATTTTTGGGAGTGCGACTTCAAGTTGTCGAAGTGCGCAGATAAAACTTCAGGCGAGAACTGCTTCTACGTACAAACACTCGGTAAATTTGTGTGTAAAGATAGACTGAAATATTTTCGAGTATCGACATACCACATAGGCACTTAAAGTATCATAAAATGATCAATTTAGCGTGGGCACTATGCAAAATCGCCTGATCCAAGGCCTAGAAGTGCCGTTTGTTTACTTATCAGGCGCCTTTTTTTTTTATAGAATTTTATAGAATCGAGTGACCCCGCCAATCGTGTTGCCATACTTATTTTCAATGATAATTTTGATAAGAGTGCCACCACACCAGCCGACGTCTAATTAGTATACAAAAACAACAATGGATCGAGGCAAACATATAGGTATGTGGGCATAGCTAAAAGCTAAAGTAGAACATCGGGCAAATGTTCGAGTATGCGTACATAGAAACGTATTCCAAAAAACCAAAAAACGAAAAGAACGCGGCACAGTTCTTTAAAAATAAACATTCTCCGGTAGAGTGGGTCGCCGAACCCAAGGCTGAGCATCGGACAAGTGTTAAATGAATGTCAAAGTGGCAAGAAGAATGCGGGAAAATATTGGAAAATAGTGTTTACCATATAAATTATAATTCGGCCCTATCTAATTACCCGGTATGATAGTTGCGCAACCATGGGATTACAAGCAATTATTCTTCCGCCGGCTGCAAACCTGCCTATCATGTGCAAATGCTAAATAATGCACATAATTATAAGTCAATAATGCGGTAGTCGATAAACAACAATATTAATAAATGTGCAAACTACGATGTGCCTGGGCGTTTTCGATTGTTCTTCGCTTATTTGATCACCATTCAAAGCGCCCAATGGCGTAGTGGGAATACTACTCGGTATGGAAATATTGCCGCTTTGGGGCAATAAAGATCCCCCCACACCGAATTGGAAAGTTGGCCAAGATAACGCAGTCAAATATTTGAATACCATTTGAATTTATAAGCCATTACACGCGTGCCAGCAGAATTTAAAGGCAAAAACAAAGCACTCACACTCTCGAATTTATGGTAATATGCCACCAAATAATTCACGTTAAATGTATCACTGGCGTATTAACCCAGAAGGAAGCAGTCCAAAATCAATTTAAAATGCGATGCCGCCAATTTCGAAACGCGTTATGCAAAGAGCATTTGCCTCCAGTCAACGCACTGCAGGCCTTTTTATATTAAAATCGAATCGCTGCCCGCTTTTGGTTTAATGAAATTTTAAGACAAGTTTGCTAATTAATTAACGCACACTCGAGAATCACAGAGAGCCAAACTAACCTGCGTTTCGGTCGATCGTTTGTTTGCTATTGAGACTTGAAAGAGCCTCAGGCGAAATCCGCGCGATCGACAGCGCGCGGGCAGCGCAGTCGGCGTCGCAGCTGGACACCATGGCGTATTATTATTGCTGCTATCAAGCAGCGCAGTCGCTGCCGACAAGAAGCCAAAGCAGCGCAGTCGGCGTCGAAAGTTCAGCTCTTATCGCTCCAGCCGATGAACGCCGACTGCGCAGTCGACGCTCCGCTCTGCTCTGCCTGCTTTAGTCAGTGATGCGAGCTTTCGATAGCGATAGCATAGCAGGCAACTAAGTTCACGCACACGTTAGCTTTTTCGAAAAAGTTCAAGCAAGGAGTTCAAATAACTGGTTACATTAAATTTGACTTAATTTTTCATAAGAATATTTAAACTGCAGTGTTTTTACGATGATATGTTAATTTACATTACTTTGTAAATGCGTCTTAAAAATTGACAAAAAACCCTGCCCTGAATCATAAAAAGGAATCAAAGCTAAATCACTTTGTTTTTGCAAGTATTTTTCCAATTATTCATAAAACTGAATTTATCATTAAACAAACACTCATAATTTATAATAGACATGCATAATGTATTTATTATGACAAATAAATTTTATATCACAAAAAAGTCTTCATGTTTTGGAATATTTAATTTTTCAAGACTGTTGAAGTTAGGCTAATAATTAAAAAAGTCTATTTCAAGAGTTAAACAAATAAATTTGACTATATTTACAGACACAATGGTCAGTCAGGTTCAAGTAAACAAACGCTCAATGTTTAAATTTGCTCTCATGATTCACAGATAATACTAAACAATTAAAATTAATTATAAGTATGACAGTCATACGCAGTTGCTTCACACTTTAAGCAATTAAGATCTTTAGTTCCTTCATTTAAAGTTAGCAGACGGTGACAAAATCCACACCATGAAAGTGATAATTAGTTTTATAAAAACTTTAAAACACCTTAGGTGATGAACTTTTAAAAGTCAAGTCAAGATAGATAGATAGAGGTAATAAGATAGTTTAATGGGTGCCATAAATTTTAATCAATAGGCGACTAAAATGATAATTCAATTACACGCTTAAAAACACTTAAATGGCTTTGAAGAGGCGCTCCCTTTGTGATAAGAAAAATCAAGAGAGAATGAGAAGAAAGAGAGAGATTTATAGCCGCAATATTTATTTACAATGTTTTTTATTACTGACACTTACCTTTAGTGCTGCGGTGATTGGAAAACTTACCCCAAAGAATTCCAGCTAAGTTTTATGGAACTCACTTCAGATAGCACTTATCACTTATCACTCACAACTAGCGCGTCACTTTTTTGACATTGGAGGGCTTTATCGCGATTCGATTTCCATGGCGCCTTGGGAGGCGGATTTCCTTGTGGCCTTGACACTGAATGCTCGCATCACTCGACACTGAATGCTTAAACTCATGACGCGCACCTTAAGCGACTTGCACTAAATTATTTGCATAGACCATTCCGCGGCGGAACATTTGATGTTCGATAATAAATTATACACGGCAACGATGCCAGCGCGATCGAGGTAGAAGCAATTTAACTCGCTAGATTAATAAATAAACCCAATGAAACCGCATCGGAATCAAAGAAGTTGGATGGATTGGTCGATGCTTATCGATCTGCCATCGTAAAACTCCCGCGCATGTGACACAGTGTTCGATCCACTTTGCCCCACACACACACTCTATATATTATTATTATTATTATAAGCTATATGCTATAGTTGATTTCTGGTCCAAGCCAGACTCCCTTGATTTATGGACACATCATTTTCGTCTAGCGGAGCTCGTTAGCTCGGAAACTGGTTGGACGGCACGAAAAAAATGCAAAATAAATAAACAAAACGGCGGCATTTGTTGTTTCTTGTATTTGCAATTCAGTTCTTGATTCACTCGCTCTTTGTGCCGGGGCCAAAAATACATTTTGTATTTCTGTTGCTGTATTTTCGGTTTTCGGGTTTTTCTTTGCTTGGCTAAAAACACTTGCGCACGTGACGTATACGCAACGTGGCACCGAAAGTGTGTCAAATATTGATAGACGCAATAAATGTTGTAATAAATAGCTAATTATTTCGCACCTTTTGGGCTTTTGTTTGGCACTAGTGGCCGCAACTCCTCCGGGGATTTCGCTGCCCATCTTTATTTGCTGACCGATAACCGCAGACTGCTGCTCTTGCACTGGCATTTCTCTGCACTTTATTGTACTATTTCTCCACTTTGTATTTCTTGTATTGGGTGGCGAGGCACTTGATGGAGTCCGGCTGCTAATTGAATTTCCCGTTTGCAATGGTAATTTTCCCTGAATCGGATTCCGTGCGCAACTTCACTGCGTGTCGCGAATTTTGTACTCTTGACTCGCGGACGGTGTATCTGTATCTGCGGAACGGGTATTTGTATCTGAATCTGCAGGCGGTGCGACGCATGTGAGTTTCGCTTTCGAGCGCCGATCCGATCCACCGACTGACTGACTGAGAGTGAGCTGTCGCCGTTTAACAAAAACCGCCAAGCGCCCATCAAAACCGAAATCAAATATCGCAAAAAGGCATGCCATAAAAACGAGGCAGCAAAAGCCATAAGTGCCATTAGACACGATACCCAATCGAGTGTCGGGTATACCTGTGCGATGAGCGTCAATCTAGATTGCGCCGAGGGTCTGATCAACGAGTGCGGGGACCTCCATTATCCGAACTACCCAAGTGGAAATTTCCTTAACTCGAAGCAGGCTGATAAAGCAATAGCATTGAGGAACTGAACTTCAGCTGGTTGAGTTAAACTAATTGCAATTAATGCAATAAAGAAGCTGAAGGACCTTGCATTCCAAATGCATTTCCCTAAATTTAAATTACACCTTTGGCAAATGTTGTTAATGTCTGGTAGCTTTTAAAATTAATTGATAAAACATTCTTGCCTGGAGATAGTAATACATATTTGGTATCGTACTTCGACCATATAAGCTTTAAATTTACGTTGCCAAGGGAGCATTTGATAGAAAAACCCTAGACTCACACTTCTTTACCCGTCCATCAAAAAAAAAGGTTGTCTGCGTGGTATCCGGTGAGTCGAGTTCTAAAATTTTCCACTTGCTTTTCTGTTTTTTTCGACTTTTGTTTTGATTCTATAGATTTACGCTGAACTATTGCGATAGGAGGTCACACTTCGAGTGATAAATTGATGTGATCTCTTTCGGCTTTCGGGTTTTTGGTAACTTTCCTAACTGACCAGCAAACTGAATTACACACATAGAGAAATTAGTTTCCCCTGTTCTGTGAAGTGCCTGTTAGTTTGGATTTTATCTATGTGGATTTGTAAAAAATTCTGTACAAGCCAATTTCGCATTGACGCAATGATCGCTTTTCTATTTGATTAGTTTTATTCGCGTGCGATATGTTGTGGTTGTTTTAGGGCTCTGCAATGGGGGTTCTTATTTTATCCACAATATTGAAGGCGCGCTTTGATATCAGCTATCGGAAACCAATTTATTGGGGGAGTATTGCTCGGGCTATAAAATCCTATGATAAAAGCATGTACTGTGTACAGACTACCAGACAGCCAAATTGAGCTTACTGAATTTATGAATTCGTAAACGTATTTTATGGGCATATTGGACTTGTCCCTCCGTTACCTTTACAGAGAAAAGGGGATGGCTCTTTTTCCCTCTGAATCGATTTGGTATTATCTACTTTTGGGCGAGACATAAAGAGTGTACTTTTAGGCTTTATCGTCTTTTACCTTTCCTTATAACTTTGTAAATATTTCATTTTTGAATTGAAATTTCTATTTTTAATTTTGATATAGTTTTACCTTATTAATATTATTATTTTTTTAATATGTATTATTCTTTTACAGTTTCAAGGTTCAAGTCTTTGGTAAACATTTTAAAAGAAAAGTTCCAAAAACAGGCGTATCCTAAATAAATTGATTTTTGGCGCCACCAAAAGCTTTTGAAGCTTTTGTGTGAGTTTTCCAACCACTAGTTTTTCCTGTCCTTGCAGAAGTTATGATACAATAAGATACAATTTTGTTATGTAGTAAAAAGAAAATATATATTACAACCTTTTATCGAAATCATTTAAATTTTAATATTATGTAAGTTCAAACAGAGCAATTATCAATAAAAACTAAACCACTTAAGACTTCCCATAAAAATTTATTTTATATTCTCAAAGATTGGAGGACCTTTTCCAAATTATTCAGAGCGTGAAAGATCACAATGCTTGCCTTCATTGACAAACATATTTCCGAGAAATTAAACATTAGCAATCTCAACTCTTTCTCTATTAATTCCCATCAGCGCCATGTGGACATTAAGTTGACGTCGTCGGGAGATCAAAAATACCCGACTCGCAGCGATTAACAGGAATTAACATGTATCGCTAAAGTCGGCCAAATATTGACACTCTCGTTCGGACCGAGTGACGGAGATCGGATATATCCGGTCCATCGAGGATGGGGAGTTGGGGTTGCTGGGGGCCCTGAGACTGGTTAATGTGAGTACGTATACGTATAATCGATTTCACACTACTTTTTAATCACTACAAAACATTTATTGTTTGCCCGCAGCGAGAAAAGTCAAACAAAAAAGCGGCGACGAGTCGGAATGGCTCGAACGCTGAACAAATTGACTCGGCCACATAATTAGGCACTTGCCCATGTCCATACCTTGTACCATATAGCATTTACCATACACCATACACCATAATACTACATATATCCCATTTCGGATCCCATGCAGTTGAAAGTATCTCACGCAGTGGGACAAAAGGTTTTTATTGTGCGTACCCGTTGACAGCTTCAATCGACGGGGTTTGGCTTTGGCTTTGGGTTTTAGCTTTGCTCCCATCGTTTGTTATATTTGTTATTTATTTTGCGGTTATAATACTTATGCACCGCTCTGGACGGGAAAAATATTGGCATCCATTGAGCGGTACAAAACATCACGGCGTTTTTACAGTTTCGACCGGCGAACGGCGACCGGCGACGAGATGATAAATTGGCTTCGTACGTAAATTCAAAATGGGAAATCTGTATGTGAAAATATCCACGGACGAGCGCGAGTAATTGTGTAAATATCTTGTCGCTGCATGACAATACCAGACATCCCCCCTTTTCTTTGACGGACAATGAATGCCACATTATTATTTTGTAGTTTGTCAACTGGCGAACCCAACCCCAAAAACAAAACTCAAAACTCAATACCGAAAAGGCGTTTTCACGCGGCGGGGAGACGAGATGAGGGCAGTGCGATAATTCAATGTCGCTCGGCCGGCGTACGGATGCAGATACAATATCTTTTTATACACACGATGACCGCGCAGGCCAAAGGAATTGTAATTACGTGTCGTGTCGCCTTGTACGGCAGTTGTATCTTCATTTGTATCTGCATCTGGTGTACATGTATCTGCGGCATCCGTATCTGTATCGCCAACAAAAGGCATCAGCATAACAAAGCACCCATTGCTGTAAGCTCGCGATCCCTCGCTCGCCCTGTTTCGCTTAATAAGCGCCTAAATAGTGTCAATGATTAATTGCTTTTGTGATTAGATGGAAATTTAATAGATTTTTTATTGTGTGCCCGGCGAAATTGAAATTCTATCAAGGTGCCAGGGCGATGCCAAAGGCACGTCGACTTCTACTCGTTTGTATTCTTTTTTTTTTTTGTTTTTTATTTGTTGTCTCTGCAGCATCATTATTACCCTCGACACAACGCCAGTGTTCGGTTATTTGTCAGCTACCGCGCCCCATGCCCAAAACTCTTCTCTGCAAAAGAGCCGCATCATTGTTACCAATTTCGAATTCAAATTGAAATTCACACGCGTCACGCTGGCAGGAAAGTGCAAGAAACGCTCTCGATCTCCTCCCTTCGAACTTGTTAGCTTTACGGAACCCCCACAAACCCCAACCTCCTGGAATTCCTCTTATATTAAATGTAATGCCACCGCAAAAATCCCCAAAGCCGGCCAAGACCGCAGCCAAACGAACGGAAATAGATACATGGAAGTCCTTCGCCGTCCAATCTGCTCAAATCCCACACAAAGTCGCAAAGAAAACACACATTGAAAGGGGAAATTCAAGTGGAAATTACTCAATTACAACTACGAAGCGAGGGGACTGCGTTCGCCGGTCGTCCTGATGATGATAGTCCAAGAACCCTGAGGGGAAACCCTACAAATAGCCGGCGATATGCGATGTACATACGCGATAATTACACTACAAAAATGCAAAATGCGGGGGAGATGGTTGGATGGTTGGATGGCTGGAGACGAAGACAATGCAACGGCAATTATGTAACCCGATAAGCGGCGGACAATGTGGAAAACTCAGACAGAACTTGTGAAATTAATAACTCACCTTCGTCCGGCCGAGACTCCCCCATGCTTTGGCCAAACATATTTATTACAAATAAAGAGACAAACACAAAAGGCAAACAAATAAAGACGAGGCCCAAAACGTTCGACGACGACGGTACAACAAAGCGTTTGGGGCATTTAATAGGCTTAACTAAGGCGGTTATTTTCGAAGGGGGCGGGGCAGCGGAAGGGGGCTGGTCGACTGAAGTGTTGACAAGTTGTTGTGTGGTGCGATTTACACACGAATTTGAGCAGAAAACTCAATTCTGTGTTTATCTTGGCTCGAAAGATACAATTATTGCATCTCCCTCGATTGCTTTGATCAGTTCGTGGACACGTAATTGATATTTAAGCCGGCTTGGAGTGTGCTCTATAGATAGATGGATTGATTAACACATTGGGGTTTGCTTTTCCAGCTAAAATACCTCTTGTAGATACAATCTATTTCATTGAATTGCTTTAATCGCTTTGAAATCACGTAGCCATTACGTTTAATTGAAGTCAATACGGCTTCAGTTGATTAACTTGTTGGATAATAATAAAACAAGATTTACTACTAGATTATAATAAAACAGAATAGCTTTAAGATACATTTTTCATTATTCGTAGTTTGAGTATTTGAAACTTTTTGGTTTGGTAAAAGATACACTTAGACCATTTTTATAAATACATATTTTTTAAGGCTTTCGTATCTAGTATTTTATATACCTAAATCGATTTAAAAAAAATGATTTTTCCTATCCAACGGATACATGACAAGCAAACTTCTGATTGGCTCTCCCCTAGGAGAGCATTTTGATTAGATACTTGAGAGCAGAGCAAATGGCTGACTCTGTGCGGGATGCAAATGTATCTCGTATACTTGCACATTAATTTCGCCTCCCCCTCATTTCCACCCACAAAATACATGAAGTTATCCGCCCGTTTCGTTTCGATTCCGACATTTCCATTTCGGATCTCAATTCCAATCCCAATTCAAATTGTGTGCGCACGCTCTCGCCGGTTGTCGGTGTGTGTGTGTTTCGTATTCGTGTGTGAGTAACTCTATGACCCTCTCGCTCGCTCTCACCGCTGGCATCGGCATCTGCTGGCCCGTTCGC